ATTATATTTTACTTCATATTACCATCATCATCATTTAGAAGCATATACATACATACATACATACATATATGTGTGTGTGTGTGGGTTGCTTGCAATGTTCTGTTGAATTTTCTGTGTATGAATACACAATGAACTTCCTTCTTAACGCCCTCTTGAATTATAGGATTTATTAAGCACAGTTTTCATTATTATGTAAGTATATCTTAATAATCAAAATTTCTAAACTAGTAAACTCACAAAGTTTAAATTAAACAACAGATACGCAATTCAAACAAATACCTTCTAATTCGGAAAGACAACTTCGGTTTTGCAGTATGCATCCATAGCATTCAGAAGAATACTTTAGTTGGTTTTAACCTCTTCCTAGACATTATCACTAAGCAAATGTATGATAGGGTATATACATACATATACATATACCCACCCGCAAACACACGCACAGCCATGAACGGAGCACAACAGCAGAACGGAAACAGGAGAGAAAGAGGGAATGGGGGCGTGGAGAAGACTGAGGACACAATAACACTGATACTAACACACACAATAACACTAACACAGCAGCAGGATAGCAGCAGCATGAGAATGTGATGAGAGGGGAGGGGAGAAGAGAGAGAGAGGGAGGGGGCAATGCCACCACCCACCCCGCCTGCCCCCCGCACGTCACCCTTTCCTATCCGTGACGTGATGCTACTGTTTCTGGGCTTGAGAGGAGGTAGATTAGTCAATCGTCGGTAAACCGACGATACCTACACACATGGCAATAGAATAGGAATTATTCCCACCAGCGCAAGACATCATAAATTTGCGGCTCTTGGTCTCTGCGATGCATCCTCCTGCAGTGTTATTCCCTTCATGGGTCGGTTGGATCCAGAGGCTTTACCCTCCACTTCCAGCCGATACACCCTCCCCTCCTCCGCTTCCTAGACCTTTTGGTGCCTCAGCAGTACATACAGGCAGTGCATGCATTCCAGCTTAGATACTGCAGTGACGATAACTTAGTAATGCTCTAAGCTTTCAGTTCTGGTTGCATGCATTACTCACTCCTTCAGCGGATGGGTCCTGAACTAGAAATTTAGAGCCATGCTGAAGAATTTTCCATATGGGCCGAATGTCACAAGTCTGCTTGCTTGTTTATTATGCGAGTTGCTTTTACAGAAGCCTGTACGACTTTCGCGTACAATTTTCGTTTTCGACGTTCGGGTTAATTCGAAGGATCAAGTCGCTTTTCCGCAAATCCAGCTGATCCACGGTAAGTGCTGGCTCTACGACATGGTCGACAACCAGAGTCTGGCTTGAATTTGTGTATCAGAAGTACCTGGAGATAATGGAATGTGGAAATTAACATCGAATGTGCAGCATGATTTTCCCAGTTTGACTGAAAGCACGGGCTGAATCACATGCATAGCCCCGGCGAATCGGCGAATCGGCAGGAGTACGGAAGGGACCATGCGTGATGCTACTGCCTGATCATCAATGGCGAGCTGCTACTTCAAGTGATGACAACTCAGTGAATCTCAAAGCTTTAGTTTTGGTTACGTGCTGTAATTTCATTTATAATGAGTTTACAGCGCTGACCAAAATTAACACCCTTGAGCCACGCTGAACATCTCTCCTTGTGGATCGACAGTCGCAGTTTTCTAATATTTTTTTACTATGCGAGCTGCTCTTACAGAAGCCTATTCGATCTTCGCGCAAAATTTTCGTTTTTGAGGTTCGAGTTAACACGTAGCATCAGGTCGCACTTACGCGCATCCTGTTGATACACGGTAAGTGCTCGCTCTGCGACATGGTCGACAACCAGAATCTAGCTTGAATTTGTGCATCAGAAGTACCTGAAGATAGTGGAGTGTGGAAATTAACATCGAATGTGCAGCATGATTTGCCCAGTATGACTGAAAGCACAGGCAGATTCACATGAATAGCCCTTGGGAATTGGCAAGAGTACCGAACGGATCACGCGTGATGCTGCTGTCCAAACCTTCGAGTGCGAGCTGATACTTTATGGTCACTAGAGGTATGGGTATGTGATTGGAGCATATCGTGCGGGCTGTCACTTCAACCTTAAGGTCGGGCTGTAAGCACAGGTCCAGTAACACAGCGGGCGTTGTGCTGAAGGTATCGGCCATTTTTTTCCATGTGGGTCTCGAAGACATCCTGATGCTTTGTTCCCAATTATGTCACATCTTTTAAGCAGTTTTCTTCAGTTTTGACCTGAAATCAGAATTATCTGCAGCGGGCGAATTCCGAATTCCAACATATCCTGCGCAACACAATGCTCCAACCAGAAGCTAAATCTTAATCCGAGCCACACGCGCAATCCCTTGAATTTAAGTAGGAGGAGTGCTGACAGGAAACGTGCAGGTCAGTGTTAAAACATAATCCACTAAAACTCAACTCCAATTTCTAGTTGTGACAACCCCACGGGAAAGACTCCCCGACAGATAACATCTATTTTCTCCATCTATTTTCCACGCCCACAAGCCCACCAGCCTTCGGAACAACAGCAAGTGTCCACACTTCGACAAACGAGCTGCATGCCGACTAAGTTTGAACCTCAGCTTCTACCGAAGATTGCATTAATGGCTCTTTGAAAACCGCTGACTGTTGGATTATGGAGCAAATCTCACCTAGATCGAACGCGACTTCGTAGCTCGTGGATGCAAAGATTAGCTAGCTGGCTTGTGGATGCGGAGCTTAAAGATGTGTACTCATCTGCAACGTTCAAGCATGCACAAGTTTCGATTTTGTGCCAATTTTGGTACTCCTTTTTCGAGGCTGGGAGATCCGTGTCAGGTTGACTGTTCTGATTGCAAGATTCAAGCTTCATCGTGTCACATCTCGGCAGGCTCGTGCGATCCATTCTTTCAACACTAGGCATTTCGATTGCCTCTGGTGCAAGTTGTCACTGGTCCCCGAACCATAATCGATGCTGGAAGGGTAGAAATTATTAAACAAATGGGACCTCGGCACCAGACACACTCATTACCGACCTTCCAGTTTGGTTTCAAGATCCCTTTCGCATCTTCTAGATTCTCTTCTAGAAAAAAGTGAATAAAAACTTGCTCTGCCGCCCGTTTCAAAGAAGTCCACCAACCATACTTCTTGTTGAAATTTGATTCATTTTTAAAAAATCGTTTTGCACTTTCCAAGATTAGTGATGTTGTAAAATAATTGAATGATAGGAGAGTATTTTATGAACATGTTGAGAATGTTTAGAAAGACACAAGAATAATAGTAAGTCATACACACACAAGAGTAGTAGTAAGTCATACACACAAGAGGGTTTCTAAGGAGAGAGAGCTTCACACACACAAAAATCTATTGATCTGGTTGTGTCTCGTACACAAGAAGAGAGAGGATAAGAGGATGAATAGTACTTCTCCACTAGACTCTAAATACTGTAGCTACAGTAATTACTATAGTCTACAGTAAATATTATGGAGAGCGTTGGCTATATTTAATGATCTCAACAGAATGACTGCATCTTTCCTGGCTTATGAATATTTTTCAAAGAAAAGTTATATCAAAACAGATGTGCCCTTCCTTTCTGTACTTGTTGGACTTACCATTTTATTCAGTTTGTTTATTTATTGTTCAAGTGTCCTTGAAAAACATGTTTTCTCTTGTTCTAAAGTATGTGAAATCACATGTTAACATTTTATTAACTCCACGCGGATACAAGAAATCTGAATTTTTTTACCGTTCATCCACAAAAAATATATTTCTAATAACCATAAATTGTTTAAAAGCACATGAACAATTTAGAGGCCTAATTAAGTTAGTGTACCATCAGAAATAAATATTTAAAAAGAAAAGGTGATTTGATTGGCACTCTTGGCAATTAGATCCACATTTAATTTATTTCAAAGCTAGCAAGTTTCCCCTGAAATAGACGGCAGCATGACAAATGCCGATTGATATTTCTGTAAAAGAATATGAACGTACAAGTTAAATGAATGATTAAACTTTCAAATACACCTTTTAATGTCCTTACTAGAATTTTAACCCATTATTTCCAAGTTCAAAACACCACAAATATCTCCCGAAAATTCAAAGCACTAAAAATTCACCCTAGTCAAATGTTTTCATAAATATAAAATGAACAAAAGGTACAAGTTGGTCTGGGTTGTGGATCATTATATTGGAAACTTGTGGCAACAATTACCACAAATTGCTCGTTGTTGTTATTATTATTGTTGTCCTAGTCGTTTTTTCTTTTTCCCCAAAAAAATCTTCAATATTTGGCCGGCAGGAATAACTCGAACACAAACAATCTCAACAAAAGAATGGCAGTGCTCTATTTTACACCCAAAGCTGTTGAAAGAGGGGAACAGAAGGGTATTTTATTTGTTTTTGGGCCTCAAACCACAACCAGAGTCCACGTCAGCAATGCATGACCAGTGTCGGAAGCACCCCTCCGCCCCCTTTAGAGTGTGTAGCAAGACAAATTGGGACCCAAAACCAATCATTTCCGAACCCAAGACCACGTCGTGGGAACGCGACGACCTGGTGGTTCGGATTGGCATAAGTGTGGAAACGTCAGGGAACGTGGGATCGTCGCGGCTGGCTGGCTCCCTCCCAAGCGGGAAGCGGCTCAAATCCCGTGCACCGTGTGTTGTGCGCTTTGCTTGTAAACGGGAGCGGAGCTGGCCGCATTGTTGCTGTTGCGGAGGGAGGATTGGTGAGCTTGGCTCGATCGTCGAGGTGCCGAGGCGTGGCGTGGCGTGGGCTCTGGCTTTGGCCATGGACACGGCAGTCATGGCGCAGCTTCCGTACCCAGATCGCTTCTACGCCGCGGCATCGTTTGCAGGATTTTCGTCGTCGTCAACGTCGTCGTCGTCGTCCTCTCCCGCTTCGGCTTCCGGGCGCTCCGTGTAAAGTCTCGATCCAAACTGGCTGACTCTTTTGCTGATTGTGCTGTGCAATGCTGGTGTGAGATCGGGATTGTGAGGGGGTTTCACATAGGGTCTCTTTTTTTTTTTTTTTGTCATTTCTTTGTTTCTTTGTTTCTTTTGTTTCCTCTCGAGGAATTGGTGTATTTGTGGTGAATCTCCTTTTGAGGGGGGTACATTGTTGTGTGCGTCGGGGTTCTATAGTTTATGGTCTGTACATTGTTTTTCGCGTGTCCATCTGGGATAACCTGCTAGTCGAAGTACATAGCTACGGGAAGCCCGTAACTGCCGAGCAGAACGGAGCCTGATGTTCAGGAGGTTCTGCGTGCAAGTTTTGTCAGTTTTTGGTGGTAAAGGAGTCTAGAATAATTGTCTCCGGGGTGTAATGCAGGATACTATGATAGGATTTCAATCTTGCGTGGATTGACCCGATCCGTAATTTTTAATTTTCTACTGTTAGACGTGTCATTTAGGATCGTTTTTGGACAGAGTGTGGTTTTCTTTGGAAGAACAAATTTTCCCAAAGTGCCGATCTAGGGTTATATGCACGCTCTTGTCTATATTATCTAAAAGCGTAGTATAATAATGTGGTATCTCGTTGATTAATTTTTTTGTTTTCCATCGATGCTGAAGTACATCAGCTCACAAGTGTTTCATATTAAAAGAATCTTATCGGAGGACAGACATCCTCTTCAAGTTGGACACTGTTTGGGTAGCAAATGTGAACTAAATTTTATTGTCAGTTGGATAGGTTTACATTATTGCGATTGTTATTGTGAGCGTTTAAGTAACTTGCGTATTTCCACTTAAGGAAAAGGTAATCTTTTTAATTTACCAGAAAATGCACAAGAATCCAAATGTAATTGGATTAGGATATTGTGAAGCTCTGATGAATTAGACAATAATTTTTCCAAGCTGGGAACTGTGAGGTCCTCAATTTTGACACTGATTTTCCCAGAATAGACTCCAGAAGATGTTTAGGATACCGGGCACACATCAGATATACGATCAGGTAACCTCACGGCAACCGAGACGACTTAGGTGCTCGAAAAGCGACCATTTAATGTCCCTTTGCAGGGTTTGGATTAATCTAAGGCAGCCTTAGTATTAGCAGATTACTTTCTATCCAGTACAGAATATTCTTAAACTTCAGAAGCTGTCGTAAATCCATTTGGGAGTTTGTTAATTGACCCAATTAGTCACACTCATGCCCTCAAACAAAACACAGCTTGTTACCTCGGGTTTTAAATCTTTCTAACTAGTGTTTTGACTCATTGGAACATTGATTGCAGTTCTACGAAGTTGTTACCAGAGAATTTACCAAATGAAACTCAGCTACTTCTATTTGCGCTTTATAAACAGGCAACTCTGGGGCCTTGCACGCTAAAAAAGCCTTGGGGCTGGCAAGTTGTTGAACACGCAAAATGGACAAGTTGGAATCATCTAGGGAATATGAACTCCTTGGAAGCTATGAGACTTTTCGTTCGGTCAGTGGAGGAAATTGACCCCAACTGGTGTGCGAAAGAGCAATCTCAAAGTGTGCAAGTTTTGGAAGACACCGCCGCTGTTGAGTCTGCTTCCAAGGAACTCACCAAGCTCCTTTTGGAAAAAGACATGCCTAGTCTACCCAAAGTGATGAATCCAATTGTTACTAACGGTAAACATGATCAAGTTGAGGACTTGTCATTTTCTGAGAAGGTAGACTTCAATCAATCCGAGACACCAAGAATGCCTGAGATGGAAAGGCCAGTTGCAGAAGGTATTGATGCAATCACAACCTACCTTGAGTGGGTACCAGTAATCGTAACAGGTCGAAAGCCACTTGCACGCTATCAGCACGCAGCAGCGGTAGTAGAAGGCAAGCTTTACGTTATTGGGGGGAACCATAATGGTCGCTACTTGAACGACGTACAGGTGCTCGACCTGAAGAAACTGAGTTGGTCAAAGGTAGACACCAAAGTTCCAGAGTCTCCACTCTCCTCTCATCGGGATCTTCAGCCTTGGTTTCCTCAGTGTGCTGGACACCGGCTCATAAGGTGGGGAGAGCTGCTGCTTGTAGTAGGAGGCCACGCTAAACCTGGTGCTGACACTGTGACTGTTCATGCCTTTGACACCCACTCCTTGTCATGGACGAAGTTGGAAGTGTATGGCCAAGCACCTGTTTCTCGCGGAGGGCACTCTGTGACTTTGATTGGGTCACAGTTATATATGTTTGGAGGGGAAGATCCGAAACGGCGGTTGTTGAATGATCTGAACATTCTAGACTTGGAAACAATGACTTGGGAAGCGGTGACTGCTTCTGGAGCCTGCCCATCTCCAAGAGCGGATCATGTAGCGACAGCCTACAGAGATAAATGTATCTTTGTTTTCGGAGGTGGTTCTCACTCTGATTGTTATAACGATCTGCATGCGCTTGACCTTGAGACCATGGAGTGGGCATCTGTACCAACGAAAGGAATATCACCAAGACCAAGGGCGGGACATGCTGGTGCGACTCATGGTGATAATTGGTTTATCGTTGGAGGTGGAGATAATACAGGTGCTATTTCTGAGACATTGGTTCTGGATATGATCACTCAGTCGTGGTCTATTCAGGGTGTTATTCAAGGAAACAGCGCTGTTGCCAGTGAGGGCCTGAGTGTTGAAGTCTCAGGAAACGCGTTATTGGCCTTTGGTGGATACAATGGTTATTTTAATCATGAGGTACATGCTTACGTTCTGGAATCACCGCAGTCTCAAGAAACAGGAAACCGGATGCTTCCAGCGGATGCGGGGGTGGAGATCAAGCAGAATACCACGTCCCTTGGTGATAGGGACTCTTCGTCTGATTCTGGAGAGATTGTTGAACCAAGTGCCCTAGACGAAGAATCAGATGCGACAACTATGGAAGCGAATTCAGTCGTGGAGGAAGACTCACCAGCCACATCTAGAAGAGGGACTCCTCGAAACGATGAATTTGAGCAGCATTTTCAAATGACATCAGGTTCTCGAAATGATGGACTTGAGCAGTTGCGGATGGCGGCCCGGGCTGCACAAGCTGAGGTGGAGAAGCTCAAAGTGGAAAATGCTGCGGCTCTTTCTTCTTTGGCCGATGTTGAGCAGGAGCTTCTCTCGGTTCGCAGTCAGCTGCAAGGTGAACAGTCTAGGTCCTTCCGGCTTGAAGTGGAGATTGCAGAGCTGAAACAGAAGTTGAGTTCAATGGATGCTTTACAGAAGGAGCTGGACCTGCTTCAGCGACAGATACCTACTTCTCATAAAGTAGCTAGCGAAGCAGCTCAAAAAGAAAGCAAGTCTGGTGTTTGGGGTTGGCTGGCAGGCGCCCCTCCTGCTCCCAGGTACGATTAGCTTCAGCTTAGCGTGCGCTTCGTTTGTAGAGCGCTGGAGCTACCATTTACTGACACCTTAGCAGTATATGGCTTATTGTGATACAACCGGTATATTTGGTACATATTTAATAATTTGCCACGGGCAACTGGGTTGCTCTATTATGGCTGTTTGAGAATCAGCCAACAGAGACGAAGGGATGCTGTTATTTTTGCATAGTTTCGCAGGTTACCTTCTGAGTTTATGTTAGATTCCTTGTTTATGCGAACAGCATTATTGATCATATTCTTTTATACAGCACCCTAGTTGGAGGTAGAGTAAGATGTAGACGTAGATTAATTTGTTGCCACCGACGTCAGTTAGCTGCTTATGCTCATTGTGGGGAGGAAATACGTTGACTGATTCAAGTATTAATGAAAAGAAGAGGCTCTTCACGTCACAACAGAAGATCAATGTCTTTAATCAACACTTGGAATGTCTTTTGTCAACCAATTATTACAAAGCCATGTATATTATTGCATCTCTTCCCAAAGCTGTGATGGGCACTACGCTTTAGCTTATGCTGTCCACCGAGGATCCCCTACCACTGGAAGAGGTCATTTCAGCTGTCGAGTCCACATGCTGGCGGAACATGCCTGCAACAGCAAGATTTGGTAACACCAAGAACAGGAGCGATAATAACGTACATATCTAAATATACACATTGATGAGGATGAAGAGTTAAGTACTGTAGGGGAAAAGTTCCTGTAAACTAACAGTTCTTCAAATTCAAACGTTACCTGACCATCCTGTAATCCAAGGAGTGTTCTGATATGATTCCTCAGCAATCCAAGGTTCAACAATCTGTCTAAAACCTTCACTGCTTCATTGTCATGAGTATACATGCATCACCTTCCTGACACTTTTTCCTCTGTTCGTAACTCCAGTACATATTATACTTTGGCACAACATTGGCATCACTTTCAATCATTTGCATTGTTGCATGTTCTGTAGTTGTTTGGAAAAGGACAATAATATGCAGAAATCTGGTAGGATTTGATGAAAGTTCAATATCGTTGTACAAGTTAGAATGGTAATGTGCAAAATATAATAGTTTTTATTCAGATATAATAGTATAATATATTTAAAATGAAAATCATTACTAACCCACCATACATCAACATGTTCTATAATTTTGTCAAAATTGAAATTATTAACTATATTATGTACTAAATCTCTTGTAAAACAGGCTGTGGATATTAGAGATCTTTTTCTATATTCAATAATCACAATGTTAGTATATTTAAGGAACTACCAATTATATAATTATATGGGTTAAAACAAAAATATTATGTTACAACACATAACATACAACAACTTGTATCTTGTATAAAATTATCTTTACCACATTCAAATGTCCACCTTGGTTAGCAACTAAAATATTTATTTTTGGATTTGATAATATATTATTTAATGCTATTATGATATTTAATTTATTTAGATGGTTAGTTAAATATAAAAAATGTAATATGAATAAATATAAATGTAATGAATTATATACTAAAAATAATAACTATGCTTTCATATGAATTTATTTCTCTAATAAAAACATTGAATTGAATAATAATATAATATCAACTTTAATTAAAAAATAATAATGAAAAAACTTAAATACTATAAGAACTATTTAAAAACTATAATTTTTGAATTTTTTTTTATATAAAATTTAAAACAACAATTAGTTCAACCAATATCAAATAGATCTGAAATAATAAAAGAAGTTATCTATGCTATTACAATATCAATGTTAGTGTTTTAGCAAAATTAGATGATTACCTCAAGAATATAAGCCAAATTAGTAGTATTGAATCTAATAGCTATTTAAATTATCTTATGCAAGAATGAATATTAATGATTTGACCTACAAAATTCTGCAACCAATAAGACTTTATATCAATGTTATTACAAAAAATATCAATTTACTATGTATTAATTTGAATAACCACTATATATATGTCATTGTCCACTTTGATGATTCAATCATATGTGCTACAATTTAGTCATTTTCATTGAATTTCTATCTTGAGTGGATATAATAGTAGATTTAAATGTTATAATATCTTCCATAAATTCATATGGATTCTCAATTCTCTTGCTTTTCATCACCACACAAGTTCTTGTAGAAACTTTCAAATGTGTCTATTTATTTATTTATTTATTTTATTTTAATTTTTTGCTTGATAAAATATCTTATTGAATTAAATTGTAGAAAAACTTATTTTTAAATAGACATAAAAAAATCCTTAATAAATATATCTTGATCTTCTAAGATAACTTGATTGCAATATAAGTAATATTTTTAGATAATAGTTTGATTCTACATTGATGTATGCTATTGGTTTGACTAATGCAAAAAAATATCAACCAAAAAATAGAACTAAATCTAAGATAGCAAAAGAAAAATTGATTCAATCATTAACTTAGATATAATTAGAATCAAATAGAATTTTTTTATTCTATGAATTATAAAAAATGAATATTGACCAATATATATATATATATATATATATCCATATATTAATATAAAGATTTATGTAATTAAGTAAAATTTAGTCCAATTTGATTCAATTAGCGTAATTGAATTTTTTAAAACAATTGATGTAGTAAATGTTTTGCAGATATGAATATTTATCTAAATTAAAAGATATAGATAGAAGTAAATAGAAGTAAATAAATTTGATAATATCTTGTAGAATAGCTTTTTAGAAACTTCATAGATGTAAATTTGATTTTTTACATATTTATAGGTGATTGATAGATAAAACAAATTGACTAATAAGTTGGCCATATGTTGTACATGTTGGTGATTTGTAGTATAAGTTGGCCATATATCACTTATTTAAAAAACTTATATTATAAATTAGATATGTGTCTTCTTAGTTAGACACATATTGAAGGTCTTATAAAAAATTGCTATACATCTCTTAATTAGATAGTATATATAGATATAAGAATGAGGCCTTCTTTACTATTTTTAATATCTTTCTTATTATTTGTCTTATTTTGAGAGTCTTTAGTTTTCTTGTTTTTGGTAATAGCTATTTTAGTCTTAATATTATAGCATCTTTGAATGATTATCTATTCTTTTTTAGTCACAAGAGTGTATTGATCATTAGATTTTTTTATGATTCATGTCTTTAACACAATGTAGTTAAAATTGATATAAATAATTAGAAAGGACTTAGATTTACAGTAATTAAAATCCAAATAAATAAGTACTAGAGATTTTTATGAATTTTGAAGATTACATTTTAGTTTTTTTTAATTAAGATATTATTTGATATCATTTTTTATTTTTTATTTAAAAAAATTAATAAAAAATATTAAAATAAAAAATAATATTTATTATTATATTATGTAATTTTTCATTAAAAAATTATTGATTCTAATTCATGAATATTAAATTTTAGATATTATTAAGGTAAATTCTATCCTTCAATCTAAATAATAAGATGGTCTCAATTAAGAATCATTTGTAATTGGTGGTATAAAGTAAAAGAAGCAAATAAGAAGAAAAAAAGAAGAAAAAATACAAAAAAATGATATAAATGAAATCAAGCAATTATACAATCCAAAACTAAGTTATAGTTTGTTTATTGAATTTTTACCTAATAATTTATTTATTTATTTATTTATTTTAAAATATAATTTTAAAAAGATAATTTTTTAGCTTTTTAATGATGTAAGAAAAATATGAATTTGAATTATTATGAATAAGTTATGAAGGTTTAAAGATAGCAAGTAAATAAAAATAATTAAATAAAAATATTTTACAAAAATGGTAATTTACTTATAGTTTAAGGGTTCAAGCTTCACCAAGGCTTATATATAGTATATTTGGATTGCCAATAAAGGCTACAAGGTCTTAGTCTTATCTTTTTAACTACATTCAAGGTGCTATAATTCATATTGGACTTGAATACCTTCTTCCCTACAAGGACTAGCCTAGTTACTAGTCCTCCAATTTTCTACTAGTGAAATTTATCTTTTTGCATTTTTGAATTCATCATAATATTTAAAAACAAAAAATTATCCTAAGAATCTCTTATGACTTTCAAATCTTGCTCCATTTCTTCATAAAAGCTCCCAAGGGGGTAAAAACTCAATTTTATCAAAGTCTTGAAATTTTCTCTAAAAACTCCTAAATAATACTAAATAATTTTTGAATATTTTTATAATATTTTATAATGATAATTTTAGAATAGATATTAATTCGTTTTTGAAAGATATTCGTAAAATATATTAATAGTCCATATAATAGGAAATTCAGGAGGACGGATGAGTGATTTAGTGATTAATTGCCTTAGTCTTCCCAAAACCCTATGAAGAAAAAAAATCCAATTCTTTGTCTTTTTTCCCCGCCCGAAGCATGAAGCTAGCTCTCTGACCCTTCTCCAAAAAAACTTATTCTCTCCCCTCCCATTTCTTAACCTATCCTCCCTTTTAACCCTAATTCTCCCCTCTTTCAAACCCTAGCCACTGAATTTCTTCAATCTTCTGTCTTGGATCCGAAATTGGCTCCGCCGTTAGAGTTCTCTCCTTCGTTTTTACCTTTAAGAGATCCTTTTACCGAAATCAACGTTCCCTGAAACGGCACAGAGAACAAGACAGCCTGAAACAGAATCAAAACCCCCGTAATTGGAACCACATTGAGTCGCCCGATGTCAAGGACAAGAACTCGATGAAAGCTAAAGAGTAAGTGAGACTTTTCTCAAAGAAATAGGACAAAATAGAAATATGTATATTAAGAAAGAAATTGGAATGGCTATTGCCAAAATACAAGAAAACTAGAGACCCTTGAAACTAGACTAGAAGCAAGAAAGGAGTTGACAAGAGTGAAGAGGGCTTCACTCTTGCCTCTATATATACTATCTAACTAGAAGCCACATGGCGATGTTCTATAAGACCTCCAATATATGTTGACTTTCTAGGCCACATGCCTTTGCTTGCAAGGCAAGTTTTCTATGGATGGACCACGTAGTTAGCTTGTTCTTTAAGCTTCCAACATGTGTGGCACATGGCTAACTTGTTGACCAAGTTTCTAGCCTAAAAGTCAACTATAGACTCCTATAAAGTCAAAGCAGCGTCTATGAAGCTTCTAAGAAGCTTCTTTAGAAGATATTACATAATTAACCTACTTTTATCTACTTTTACATACTTTTATCTATTCATATAGGTAATTATATGTATGTCCGTGACATTACCCCCCCTTCTAGGGACGAGTTCCACGAGGAGCGGTGATTATATATTGAGAAAATCTAATATGCGGCGAATTGTATTTGCTACATACTCTGATCTTTGTTCTCTTCGAAGATAGTTGATGGGTCCTCTTAGCCATCGATAGTGTCCCATTCCAGGGCGAGAAGACCACCCTGTTATTTGATCACTGTTGAGGCCTTCATAACTTCCTTCAAATAATACATTTGA